AAAATTGCATATGTTAACGTGAGGTCTCTGCTTGGAGGGAGAGGAGGTGATTATACAGGTGGGATTTAAATGAGGAAAAGGAGGCAGCGTGACGAATCGAAAGGGGAAGGGAGTTCCAGAGTTTAGGGGCTCGGATCAGAAATGATCTTTCGAAGGTATGGGTTGTATGTTGCGGAAGGATAAGGTCGATTGGGGATGAGCGGGTCTTACGAGTGAGATGTGAGGAGTTGAATTGGAGGGATTGGATGATGTAAGGAGGACGACGAGTGTGGATGGACTGGAAAAGAAAGCAACCTAGAAAATACCGTGCACGGAAGGAGGGGAATAGCCAGGAAAGTTGGGAATACAACCCCGACACCCGGAATCTCCGTGGGGTGCCGTACACAAATCTTACGCAACAATTCATAATACGCTTCAATCGCGCGTTCTCCCCCTCCGAGAGACCACCGTATGCCAAACTGCTATAATCGAAGAAGGGAAGTATAAGGGAAGATACAAGGAGTTTGCGGGTGGAGAAAGGTAAGAGAAGCCAGGACCGACGAAATAGGCTGAGGGAGGCAATGGAATAGTGGGAAATTTGGGAAATGTGAGAATGCCAGGAAAGGTTTTGGTCAAAGACTACTCCTAGGTTTTTAACCGAAGAGCAGAAGGGGATGGGATGGTTATTTAGCATGAGAGGTGGGATGCTGGGGAGGGAATTGAGGAGTTGCCTCACTAGTACTGAAGATGCGATTCGGTAGGTTAGTGAAATCGTTAAGACCAAATACAGGAGGACAGACAACTGATGCTCATTCCTCTGGATGTAGAAGGAGATTTTAACGCACCTTGTTGGCCAGCCATAATAAACAAGCTACGCAATTTTCACTGCCCTGAGAATCTTTATATCCTATGAAGATCTTAGTTCAGCAAAGGGAAAGCTACAATAAAAGTGAACAATATTAATTATACAGGTTAAAACCGGATGTCCTCAAGGATCATAAAGTGGTCCGGGATATTGCACAATTCTCTACGACTCACTTCTTAAGCTCAATTTACCTCAAAATTTCAAAGCGGTGGTTTTCCCCGACGACAACCTTCTAATAGTATACACAAATAACCGAGTAAACGCGCAAATTAAGGCGAATGTCGAGCTAAACAAAATTTATGAATGGGCTAAATCAAGAAAAATAACATTTAAAAAGTAAAAGTCAAAAGTCTTGCATGTTCACAATAAAAGAAATGAAGAAATAACAGTCTTTCTTGGGAAGCAATTAAAAACAAATACAGAACTCAATTATATAGGCATAGTATTCGATCACAAGGTGAGTTGAAGGGAGCAAAACCAGAAAGTGACTGAAAAGACCATCCAACTAGTGAACGCTCTCTCGAAAGTAGCAAAAGTTAACTGGGGATAACGGCCTAAGGCTCTCAGGGTAATTTACGCTAGTGTTATCCTGCCTACAATGACCTAAAAAGCTTCATCTTAGGAAAGCGCCCTAAAGATAAAAAAGAATTTGAGAATTCTTAAAAGGGTTCAATGCCTGATAGCCCTAAGAATGATGAAAAGCTACAATACTATATCATACAAGGCGGCGTGTGTGGTAGCCAACATAATTCCATTAGGACTGAAAATCAAGCAGTTCATCGAAAGGTTCAGGATTCTAAAAGGTCATTATGACATGGAACTGCAGGGACTAGGACGATGCATTTCGACCACCTTTTGGTATCCCTTTACGCGCGCACTGGTTAAGTGTTAACTCACCCTCTCGGAAGGGGCAAGCGGAAGAAGTCAACATGTCTATCGATTCGTCTGTGGCTTTTCAATGGAATTTTAACTATTCAGCTAGTAGAAGGGAAGATAGGCATGTTCATTATTCAACTGCAATGTTAATGAGAATGTATATCATTTTGTTTGTGAATGTTCTATTCTAACCGATTTCAGATATAAATGGATGAGATGTATAGTAATATTAAGGATTACATTCATTGATTTTTTTTTTCGTTATGATCTGTGCATATTAGCCACGGCGACAATTCTTATATGTGTGTTCAAATTGGGGGGGTTATCGTGAAAAAATGGCCAGGGGCGACGGTGGGAATCGAACCCAAGACCGCGGCGTGAGAGTCTCTCATGCTAACCACTCGGCTACCGTGGTCCCCCATTGAATATTTGAACGGTAAGAAAAAAATCTAAGCCAATATCTGTGCTGTAAATATAGACAAGAATAAACAAATGATTTTAATTATTAGAATTTGCTTACTAAGGAACCCCAGCTAGTAATCAGAAGACATTGGCTAGCAGAAAAATATGTCCTCAAAAACTATTCCTTACACCACAAACTTTACCAATAAGTTCACAATTTGATAATTGAAGTTCTAACATCTCCTTATTTGATTAAAAAAACAGCCATTAATTAGTACCTTATGGTGGGAATGCCCTAGGTTACTTCAATCCAAGTGAATAACAAACTACCCTTATTCAATCTCGAATTCTTCTCTACAATGCAAAAATCCGGTTTAATTATTCTACCAGACCAAATTCCCACCTAATGAGGTAAACTAAAGATTCCGCGAACTCACCCACCAAAAGTGAACCAGCTCGACTATTATATTCACAGACGGTTCCAAGATAGATGGAAAGTCGATTGGGGCATACTATGGAGGACTCAAACTAAATGAGTCCTCCTCGTTTACCCGCGAAATGCATGCAATTAAGGGGCACCCTCAACACGACAAGAATGACACATCTACCCGGACAACAAAAACGTTGAGCCCTGAAGATGATCTCTGGAAAGATCGAAACGTTTGCACGATAAAGAAAATGTTTTTATAAAACCTACATCACACCAGCCCGCATTTCACGACATCCAAATAATCGTATGCAATTCTGTTGGCTCTTAAATACGCGGAATATATTGAAGCCAATCAGGTATTAACTTGTTCGGATTGTAGGAGTGCCTTATCCAGCGTCACGACCCCAAATCTTACCAAATCATTTCGTACAGAATTGACAGTTAAAATTATAAATAAAATAAATCATCTCCGGTATAAATGAAACCAAATTATATTCTTATGGGTAAGAGGCCACTGTTCATTGAAAGGAACTGAGAAAGCCGACGAACTGGCCGTCAGCTACAAAAAAAAAAAAAAAAAATCAGAAATAGAAAAAGAGTTGAAAATATTCCATTACGATGCCATCAATTTTATTAAAAGAAGACCGACTGCACAGTGGCAGAATAGATATAGATCATCAAGCACTGGACAATGGCATAAATCTATCATTCCGAAAGTCGGATGCGTTACTCGGTTCACCAAAGAAAAACGTATGAAAGTTTTGATTTGAATAGATTTTGTTCGAAATTATCCATGAATATTTCGACACAAAGTGAAGATAATGGAGACCTCATTGGTAACCCTTTCATTTTGTATAATTTATTATTGAATTTACAATAATTAGATAGTAGGCATATATTTAAGAGGTCTATTATATCATTTTTTACAAATTCGTAATAGAATTCTCGTTAAGTTTTTGTTTTAAGAGTTTAGTACATTCTTCAACGGGGTTATTTGTCAATAAACTAGTAACGTCAATGTCAGTTGTTGGGTATCATTTAATACCGAATGTAGGTTTAAATTGGTTTTAAGTTTTAATTATTTTTTCAATTCCACTTTCAAGTTTATAGCATGGGGAATTATTAAAAGACACTCTCGGCTGGTTCACTTTTGCAATTCATGTCGAGAGACGTGGCTGTAGGACTACTTCAACCTGATGATGCGCTAAAAGCTCCAAATCCGGATCGTTGCAAAACAACTTACTGTGAGTAGGAACTATCTTTTTAAAAAGGATTGAACACAGCATTCACTCCATCATTTTTCAGTTCCATTAGTAAAAGTTATGTTAATTGATTTATTATTGAATTAACTTTTGCATGCTTACTGAACAAGTAATTATTGAATTAAATTTAATTAAGGTTTTTAGTTGAGATGAAAAAAAGTTAATGGCAAGAGAGGGATTCGAACACACGACCTTCGGCTTGATACGCCGCTGCTCTACCACCTGAACTATCGTGACCTCACGAGAGCAGCGGCGTATCAAGCCGAAGGTCGTGGGTTCGAATCCCTCTCGTGCCATTAACTTTTTTCATCTCAACTAAAAACCTTAATTAAATGTATAGTATTAATTGGTCAAGCGGACCACGAAATTAGTGAATTTATTGAATTAAATAACATTTGTTATGATTTTAGTTAAGATTTATTGCCACGATTGTTGTTAATATTTTATAGTCCATGTAAAAACGTAAATATATATTTATAATAATTATAACTTATATCTAAATAATGTTCCTGGTTACAAAACTGTTAAAATGTGATAGTATTAGATATTAAGCTGTTATAATTTGACCATTTAAAAAAAAAATTCTATTTTTATTTTTATTTTTTTAATGGCCTTATGATCGATGCATATTTAGCCAAGGTGACGATTATTATGTGTATTCATATTTGGGGGGGGGAGTATCGTGAAAAAAGGCCAGAGGCGACGGTGGGATTCGAACCCACGACCGCGGCGTCTATGAGCCGAGTCTCTCATGCTAGATCCAAAAACAACAGGAAGCAAACTATTAACTACTTGAAATAATTTGGCCATTCTTGACAGATTTGTTTGGTAAAATTTTTTGAAGGTTTAAACAGATGTTCTCAATAATAAGTTATATGTAAATATGTTCCTAAACTAAATCATTAAATTGATAAAGCAGGATAATTTATTAGATATTAAGCCAACTCAGCAAACGAGCTTCAGCCCATGCCATCTATGTTTTAGCTTATGTTTGTGCGTTGATTTTTTGTAAGATCATTTGGAATGAAACAATAATATTCTATTCTATACCCTATATCACCAAAATCAATACTCATAAAATTACCAGAAAATTTTCATATATTTTGTTTTTGGGTAGAATATTAAAACAAAAATATTGAATGTGTACTGTTATGACCGTTTTTATTAATTCTGAAAAATAGTAGTGAAAAGATATTGAAATAAACTATAGAAAGGATAACAGAAAATGAATGTACAATTTAGTATTTATTATTGTTAAAAAAACGTATGATTACGCTTTGATAAAAATGTTTATTATATCACACGTGCTTTCATCAGTTTACGTTTAATTTTTTGAATGAACAATTGTCGTAATTATTAACGGAAGAAACGTTTCAATCCGACAAAGATGCCAGTTAAAATATTAGGATATAGTTATGAAGAGTACAAGTCTTTAAGGAATGTACACAAGCAGATGGCAACGGCACAGAACGAGCCGTTACCTGTGTATGTCAAAATATTAGCTGCGTTCACGTGTTGCATGGAGGTAATAATCAGATCTATGTATTTGTTTATGTCCGTTTTCGAAATCATTACTTTGAAAGTGCCGCACAACACTGTCCTGCTGAGAAATTGCTACTGGGATTTAGTGTACGGGATTGTCACGGTCGGTGTAGCATGGTTGACGGATTCGCATTTCGGGAAGCTCGGGGTTATATTCTGCGGCTTCAGTGTTGTCATCTTCGGGATTTACTTAATGGCTCTGGTACACAGCCTCATAGGCTTGCTCGGAGGCGACTCGTTGTTTCTTACATTTATATATTACATAGGAAAAGTTTTTATATACACTGCTTTTGCCGTCAACCCGGTCAACGTTGTATTTTTGCTCGAGCAGTACGAATTGACACACAACGTGAACTTTGTAGAATTCATGTGCGTCCAAATGGTTATATCGAGAAACATCGGAGAAATCTTTTTTGGAATATGTGCTTTTATATTCGGTAAAAATTCGTATTATCCACAAGTATTAATGACCATCTATGCGACCTTGCTGGCCATTTTCCTCATATCCCTGTTCTCCGTCAAATCTAAACTAATCAATCATCATTTCAAGCAGAAGTACATTGAATCCATTATCGAATGTTTTATGACTTACGGTTATCTCACAGAAAAATCTATCCGTAAGACTAGAAACAAACTCATCTTGGTTAGGGCTTCGTCCACCAGGATGAGTATTGCCGGAACGTCGATTGCGCCTCAAAAAATGAACGCTGCCGAAATGATCGAGTTTATTCTTACACATGAAACGATAGAACACACAAACCGTTTGTTGCATCTTTTTGTCTTTCTCTCTCCTTTTATCATTTATTTTTTCATTGCGAAAATGATTTATATCACTTGGATAACACAGGGTTCTGGGTTACCACCGTTGGAATTCGTAATGGCAACACGTTCGGTCGATATGTCTATCGCCGCTTTGTCCATAATCACTATTTTAGCCTTTGAATATGCCATTATACCTCTCTGCTTCAAAAAAGAAACCAACTACAAAATGGCAATTAAATATTTTACAGTCGGATTTCTCCTTCTGGGCGGTGCCCTCGTCGCCGTCTCTGGTGTACAGATTTTGACCCATAGCCATAAATCTTTCGTAGACGTGGGCACATTGAAAATACACAATGCAATGAACGTCTCGAGCAAAGTAAGTTCCGATTTCACGGGAGAGTTGACAGTTACCCCAGGTGCAACGCAGTACGTGAGGAACATCTACCTCTCAGACGAATACGGCGTTTGTCGAGGAGTGATTGAAAACAAACGTCTCTCGTGGCACAAGGGTATCTCCTTTCAGACTATAGTCGCTAAGAAAAACGACGTGATCGTTTATGTTATCACGAACAACGGGGATCTCGTCAGAGTGGACGATTTCGAACCGAACGTAAATCTTACAGATAAAGCTTCAATGGCACAAGTGCTTTTCATTAACGCCTTGTACGATTCAAAAGAAGTGACTCTTGTTTTTAAGGGTCACGGAATGTCCGGTAACACTACTTTTCATAACATCAAAATGCCTCGGATAGCCAGACAAAAAGTCACCTACCTAGAAGCGGGCACGTACAAAGTTTTCTCACAGAACTACAAGGACGTTTTTAAGTTTAATTTCAAGCCGAAATCGTATAGCCACATAATATCCGGCGACAGCATCATCAAATACGACGTCGAACTGCCTACCCCAGTGGATCCGCTCTGGGACATCCCGGCCATGACACTCTACGGCATGTCCACATCAATCATTCTCATTTACTACTTACGGTTTATTTTTGTTCAGTCACCGCCTCCGATTAGGATTTTCACACTGGCCGTGATGACATTCGAAATCCATATCGTCAATATAATGCTTGCGTTTTGCTGGTCCTTGAGAAAACTTAACTTCTTTAAAAAGGATTATTTCATATTTTGCGGATGTTATTTAACCAACATGGTTTTATTCATGTACGTTATTGTAAGCACAAAATTGAATAAACCCTACGTGGGAACAACGGGTAGAAAGTATTTATTGTTTTTTTTAAACAGCTTTAACAACGTTTATGATCGATTTGACAAAAAACATTTGGTATTGTAAAATAAACATGATTACAAAATGTTTTGAACAGCGAATTTTTACCAATCAATTAGTTCTTCACACAACATATGTTTAAAATAAGGGCTATTCACGATCTTTGTGTTAACCCTGTTAACTCTGTTAGGTCGTGTTAGATTGGGAAAAATGATGACGTAGACATGTAAGAATCGGCTAGTTAACATTGCTCGATCTAACAGAGATGAGGGCAATGGTAGATCGAATCGAATAACCGTTAGGACGTAGGTAACAAACATGGCGGCCATGAATTTAATAGCTATTGTTTGTTGACACGTATTTTTATGTTTAAATACTCATTAATTAAATCAGACCAATACATTTCTTTTGTTCATTTCTGACCTAAACTAGTACTCTCATTCATAGTAGATACAATATAAGTTAGGTATGTCGGCACGAATTGAAGCGTGTCATTTGTCATTACTTTTCGAGTGCATAGATAGCATTTGGAATCAACTGTTAGTTGATTAATAGAAATGATAAATGATGGAGTGAGTTTGGTGTTCAATCCTTTTTAAAAAGATAGTTCCTACTCACAGTAAGTTGTTTTGCAACGATCCAGATTTCGAGCCTTTTAGCTCATCATCAGGTTGAAGGACTTCTACAACCTCGTCTCTCGACATGAATTGCCAAAGTCAACCCGCTGATACCTCCGCCAACGCGACGTTCCAATTAGCAGCTGATTTTTTTAATGGCGCTCAATTTGAACGTGCGAAACGCGGAAATTATAACACAAATAAATATTATAATAGTAAATACTTAATATTATTAATTTACTATAAAAATAATAACAATTAAAATAATTAGTTTAATTATTTGGATGTTGATATTTTTTTATGTACATATTTAAAATGGGAGGTAGATCAAAATCTGTTATATTATTAATGAATTTATCACCATGTTCAATTTTACATTTTTTTAATTTCAAATTTCTCAAACCAATCTAGATCTTTCCCTTTGTTGAAACTATTGTTCTTAGATTTGAATTGAAATTATGTTTTGTTTCTTTTAGATGGTCCTTAAATTCCGAAAATTTTCTTTTACTCTTCTTTTTATATCTCTACCGCTTTGTCCTATGTAGTTAATATCACAATCATTACAACTGAGTTGGAAAACCGCGTTTTTTGCCAAGAAAAAGTAGACACTTGGCGTTCGGAATTTTAGGACCATCTAAAAGAAACAAAACATAATTTCAATTCAAATCTAAATACAATAATGTTACATAGTTTCAACAAAGGGAAAGAATTAGATTGGTTTGAGAAATTTGAAATTAAAAATGTAAAATTGAACATAGTGATAAATTCATTAATAATATTTTTATACAGATTTTGATCTACCTCCCATTTTAAATATGTACATAAATAATATCAAACATCCAAATAATTAAACTAATTATTTTAATTGTTATTATTTTTAGAGTAATTTAATAATATTAAGTATTTACTNTTTTAAGGGCGTTTTAACGGCTAAGGTCATTTCACGCCCTAACATCCAAACCTTCTATCTTAGGTTAGCTATATCTCTTCTGAGTGTTATTTAATAATTATTATTAATTATTACTTAATTATTAACTTAATTATTTCTTAATTTATTATTAATTATTACTTAATAATTAACTTAATTATTACTTAATTATTATTACTTAATTTATTTATTTATTTTCTAATACAATTAAGTATTTACTATTAATATTTATTTGTGTTATAATTTCCGCGTTTCGCACATTCAAATTGAGCGCCATTAAAAAAATCAGCTGCTAATTGGAACGTCGCGTTGGCGGAGGTATCAGCGGGTTCACTTTGGCAATTCATTTCGAGAGACGTGGTTATGGAAGTTCTTCAACCTGATGATGAGCTAAAAGGTGAGCTAAACTTACTGTGAGTAGGAACTATCCTTTTAAAAAGTCTTGAACACCACACTCACTCCATCATTTTTCATTTCTATTAACTCAAGTCAGTGTCACAATTTTTTTATCTCACCTAAAAACCTTAATTAATTGGAATTATTAATAATGTCAGTTTCACGAGCGGGATTCGAACCCACGACCTCTACGTTTGTCTTTCTTCCCCGTCTGGCTATACTACTCTCATTTTTTATGTCTTCGTCGACCAAATCACAGATCGTAGGCTACCAAGGTCTCACAACCCTGCACAACCATAGAGATACCATGGGATTAATGGTTGTAGGAAGGTTTTATTTATTTTGTACTTTATACAACATATCTCAAGCATCTTTATTTAAAAAGTGCTGATTACTAATTTATATAAACTCAAATCTGCGCACTTATATACCTACATATACGCGGGTACAAGATCTATCATTTCTCTCAGTCCACCGGCAATTTCAGCGTTTGTAAATTACAATAAATTACATACTGTTCTTGAGAATCTCACACACCAGTTGCTGACAGTTTGGGGTCAGGCCTTGATCTTATCCGACCATCCATCTTGGAGGCTATCAACAGCTAAGCCATTTCAATCCCCAACGCAATCTTTTTCCAAATGTCGGGGCGTTAACACACTTATTACATAACTGACCTAATCGAGGGTCTATGGATACTCAGTACTGTCCTATCACTTTACACAATTCACGCCGATAAGTACATACATTCCCTCTCAACACATGCTAAAGTCATAAAACTATTATATTTGGCATTCAACACTACCTGAAAATCCTCCATGTCTTCTGAAGCGAAAGTGGCCCCCGAGACCTTCTCATTGAGTAAGGATTGAAAGGATTTCAGCGTGGAGCAGTTTTGCCACTAGGCAACTTCTCCTACAAGAGATTCAACTGACATATTGCAATTGTTCAAATGTCGTGTAATCGGATTGGATTCTCGACGGCAAATGAAATGGCCACGGAGAGCTTTAGTGAAGTATACTTCATTATAAATCATTAAATTCACTTTTTCAAATTTCTATTCTATCTCAACTAAAAATCTTAATTAATTGTAATATATTAATTGGTCAAGCGGACCACGAAATTAGTGAATTTAATGATTTATAATGAAGTATACTTCACTAAAGCTCTCCGTGGCCATTTCATTGCTGTCGAGAATCCAATCCGATTACACGACATTTGAAAAATGGCAAAAAGGAGGGAAATTCAAAAGGTGCGGTTGAGATGGGAAGTTGATGTCCGAGTGGATCGAGGTCACGATAGCTCAAGTGGTAGTGCAGCGGCGGATCTAGCCGAAGATCGTGTGTTCGAATCCCGCTCGTGCCATTGACTTTTTTATCTCAACTAAAAATCTTAATTAATTGTAATATATTAATTGGTCAAGCGGACCACGAAATTAGTGAATTTAATATATAAACATATTTACTTAATACAATATTTTAGCCCGTAAAAATCAAATAAATTTAATAAAAAAGATAATTCTTTTGGCATACTGTCGTTAACTATTACAACTCTCCTTGAAATTAAATACTATTGCCAAATTTCCAATCGTAGAACACTACTTAATACGACAAAAGTCAAGTAGAAACGTCCAAAATATGAACTCAAAAAATATAATCTAAATATTTCAGAACTGGTAAACTGGAGGATTAAATTTCCTGTGAGGATAACAAGAGTTTTATTATTTGTAAAATTGTTAACAGGTTTAGTCAAATCGGTCGAGGTGAATTTGACATGAGACTCAATTTCCGGCCTATCCCGTCTTTGTTAGAATAATCCCCCCATGGATGGATCGACCTTTGACTCTTCTTTTTCCAAAAATGGGTCGCCGGTGTAAATATTTCTCGAAAATATCAAAAATTTGAATTTAATCTATTGGCGTCTTTTTATTTACACGAGAATATTAAAAGAACGTTCACAAATTTATATATATTTTGAAGAAAATTTCAATTGGAATTGGAACTAACGGTAATTTTTTTGGGTACGCCAAAATTGATCAGTGTTAGTCAATAATTGATCTTGTTATACAGAATCAGTTAAAGTTATTATCGTCTAATGAAGATTGAAGCCATCCAGTCATAAAAGACAATTAATGATGACTTTATTATTAATTGCCAAACTTCTTAAAATAACAATTGCGGACAGCTGAGGAGTTGGAGTTATGAAATTATAATTATCACAGCTGGAACTCCTTTCCATTTATAATAAAAGCTATTAATTTGTTTTGACAGTTCGTAATTTCTTGAGTGAAATGGGAATCCTTCTTTTTTGGAACTAAATAAAAAAGTCACTTCGTGTTTGAAATGTATTTAATTAAATAATTATATTCTTATGTAGTGTCAAGGTATGAGAAAATATTTAAATTTACAAACTGTTTTATTATTACCATTCGTAAAGATATACACATAGTAAAAGAAGTCGACGTACACCCCAAAAAATATAATTTTTTAAATAAAAAAATTCTTACATAATATAATCATGTTAAAAAACTAAGACAACTTCTTAGCTGTTGATATTACTTTTTTTTGTTTACGATGGTTCGCAACAGCAGAGGTCATATAAACCCTCAGGGTGCCGGTGTTTTTGAAAAAAAGCCCATTTGTAAGTATGTCGGGTTCGAATGCAGGGCCGCTGGATTCGAACTCGAGACCTTTAACTTACAGTGATACAGTGATGAGCGCCTAAACCGTTGCGGCCACCGATGCCCCATTCAACCCTTTATTATTTATTATTGAAGAATGGATAGAACATTTAAAACGTTTTTAACGATATAAAATAGACGTTTGTTTATGCAAAATGAGTTTTAACACACTTTTGTTTAATTCTTCTTCAACAACAACCGAACATTATTATCCCGTTTTAATTTCGAATTTAATTAGTAATAATTAAGAATCAATCAAGTCAAGAATCTTATAAACATTTTATTATAAAAGAGGTGACGGTTGACCTCGAAAATAGTGAAATTGCAAAAATAGTTTTACAAAAGCCAGTCAATGTACAAACGATCTACAAATCTAAGACACTACGGAAAATAAGCACCAATCATAGCGGCCAAAGAAATTAGAGAGACCTGAGAGAAAAAATAGTTCTCCAACACATTAATTTTAAGTTATGAATCAAAATTTAATGCTTTCTGTTCGGATTGAATGTGGCGGATAAAATTTCACATAAATAAATTTATATAATGTTTGGTGTTTAGTGACCACTAACGGTAAAAAAGATTATTTGGAAACCATGCGGTCTGGGTGATGTAGGCAGAAAAATTTTATTTATCGTGCCAACGTTTCCATCTTTATTGAGATCATCATCAGGGCCCACAAGAAAGACACATCTACACGGAAAACAAACACTTTGAGCCATGAAGATGATTTCAATAAAGGTCGAAACGTTGGCACAATAAAGCAAATTTTTTCTAAAACCTATATCACACCAGATCGCATCTCACGATTTCCAAATAAAATTTATATAATATTTTTAAACAATTTTTTGAAATAATAAATTAATCTATATAAAAATTGTTTTCTACATAATTAAAAGAAATACGTATTTTTTAAACCTATGGAAAAAAAGTGTAAGACGTATCGACCACTTTTTTACTCACGAATAATCCGGGTTTTCGTATGGTCTACAAATTCAGTTGTTGTTGCAAAGCTTTCGACCTATGTTATGGTCATCATCAATGCAGACCAATCTTCAATATGTACACATTGACAAAATTGCGTTTTTAATAGATGGTTTCAAATTTCTTTGAAGACCACTCAATCCCAACATTGCAAAGGACCGAGAATCCAATCCGTCTGCACGACATTTGAAAAATGGCAAAAAAGAGGGAAAATTCAAAAGGTGGGGTTGAGATGGGAAGTTAGTGTCCGAGTGGATCGAGGTCACGGTAGCTCAAGTGGTAGAGCAGCGGCGTATCTAGCCGAAGATCGTGGGTTCGAATCCCGCTCGTGCCATTGACTTTTTTAGCACAACTAAAAACCTTAATTAATTGTAATATATTAATTTGTCAAGCGGACCACGAAATTAGGGAATTTAATGAATTGCAAAGGACTTTGAATAGTGTTACAGTCCTTTGCAATGTTGGGCTTAAATCGGTCTTCAAATAAAATTCAAATCATCTGTTAATAATGTAGACACATTTAAGATTTTAAGATTGTTTTCATTTATCGGTGACTTTAACATAGCTCGAAAGCACGGAGTTGTCTCTTCATCCAGACCATACCAAGATCCAGCTTATTCATACAGAAAAACACAAATTAGCGGACTATATTTTTGCAACATACTGATTGTTTTTAAAGAACAATAGATTAATTACTACTACTAAAATTATAAATTCTCATTGGTGCCAAGCTATATTGTGCAATCGTATAGTACGAAGAGAACCAGTGAACATGTTCACGACTGGAAAGCGAGAATAAACGGACCCGAAATGATTATTGAACCAACTGGCGACATGGACTGTTGCCAGGCCAGTGAGAATAATTGAGTCACGTTTTAGATAACAGAACATTATTACTGTGAATTGAGGCTAATTAAAATTTTCTAAATAATTCCCGATAGTTCTATTTCGTTTCATTATGATATCATAACAATTATATTTGTCTAATTAAATATACAATGACCCTGTGCAACTGCAATTAAGGTATTTTATTACGATTTATTAGGTTTACTTTATTTCTGTTTTGTTTGTTTCAGGCTCCTAACTGGCTGAATATTACTGACGCTAAAAAAGGTAAAATGTTAATCTATTATGAATAAGGTCGAAATCCTTAAGGCCTTTTAGCAAAGTTCTTCTTTACAAATTACACTTGTCCGCGCCTATGATTTGTACAGAGGCTCGTAGTACTGACGGGTTGTACATAACATAACACTGTCACCCAAAAGATATACGAGCCAGCCGATCTGAAAGTTCCTATTCCTCACAAACTCATACCATCCCGCAACATAACATCCATTTACATTCGGCTTTTACGACATCTCAACTTTACGACGCAGTAATTCTCAGTATGGGGTGCAAGGTTGTAAACTGACATCGCTTTGGTACTGGAATGATCAAACGATAATCAGCGATGTCCGGATATTGATCAGAATTGTATTTAGACATAAAAAAACTGTTGTTAGCCGTTTCGTAACAAGGAAAATCGAACCAAATCAGTTTTTAAGAAGCAATATTTTTTGTCTGACTCTAATCAAACAAAACTAATAAAAATTAAAGGAAAATTTATAAATATCACAAAATGCATCTTGGCAGACAATGAAAATTGTAAACAGTAATTGTCGTTTTTAGGTTTTACAAATAATAAAAATAATAAAAATCAGTGTGAATTCCGTCTTATTTTAGTACTACAATTAGTCTTTAAAGAACAAAAACTGGTATTTTACAATTTTATATGATGCAAATCCTTTTTTAAACTAAGCAGTGAATATTTTTGACTTTTTACTACAGACTAGAAATTACACTACGAATCAAAAGCAAATGGAGTGTAGAAAGTATTAGTTACTTAATTTCACCATATTTATCAACCCTTTTGCACGAAAAGAGACTGGATAAAACAAACTTCAAGGCGTTGAAACACGTGGTCGTCATTGCACAAAATCGATGGTAAACCTCGCGAGGACTATGTGGTGTTTAATGACCATTAGTTTATGATTATTTGGAGATAGGGAGATGCCGTCTAGTGTGACGTAGGTTTTAGAAAAACATTTTCTTTATCGTGCCGACGTTTCGATCATTATCGAGATCATCTTCAGGGCCTTGTCTGCATTTCAACAAAAAAGTTTTCTGATTAATAGCTGAAGCTAGTTTCTTCTCATTGTTGGTGATGTCCTTTAGAATACTCTTACCTTGTTGGTAACACCTCAAACATGTTGGGTGTATTTTTGTTGAAATGCAGACAACACAACGCTCTGAAGATGATCTTAATAAAGATCGAAACGTTGGCACGATTTAAAAAAAAATGTTTTTCTAAAACCTACGTCAGACTAGAACGCAACTCACGATCTCCAAATAATCGTCGCGAGGACTGTTGAGGTCATAAGTCAGCGAAACGTCTAAATCACCTGCAAGTTCCAAGTTTGGGCTTGTTCAAGGATCCATAGAATCCGTGGACGTCCTGTTCTAACTTGATTTCCAGAAATGTTTCCTTGACAGAAGTTGACATGGAAAATCAGTGAATTTAAACTTTTTTCAATTTTGTAGCTTAAATAACTATTTATTATTAGAAATACCGTTAAGTAGTACAATATGTTCATATTAAACGAAGAATAAGTCAATATTCCATGAAAGCTTAAATATTTGATTTTACCTTATTAAATGAGGCCATTAAATAAATTTAAGAAATTTGAAAAAAAATCAAATGATCTGTATTAATTATTTACAAATCAATTAATAATTTTAAAAATAATTAAACAGCTTTTTATTCATCTCTGTTGGAAACAGAAAAATCAAACATGGCAGGACAAATAAGCCGTACGATGTAAATAAAAGTAATTAGGTCTTAAACCGTTCTTCTCCTGGAGAATTGAAATGTGTAAAAGGGTTATTTTGGAGAAAGAAGCTCGTATAGAACGACGGCTTTTAAACTTACTGACTAATGACCCTTACAACTTGAAGGAAATGGGACAGGAAACGTCTCTGATCCTGCATACCGGCTCATTTTCAAACCGACTTACCACCCATTCAACATGGCAAGTATGAAACGCTAACGTGCATTATATCATTTTATTTCTATTTTATGACGAGGGTTTCATTTGACAATTGACACATAAATAATTTAGAAGTGTTTAATGTAATTATTTATAATTAATTAAGTTTTTAGTTGAGATAAAAAAGTCAATGGCACGTGCGGGATTCGAACCCAAGATCTTCGGCTAGATACGCCGCTGCTCTACCACTTGAGCTATCGTGACTTCGATCCACTTTTGGATTTTGAATTTTCCCTCCTTTTTGCCATTTTTCAAATGTCGTGTAATCGGATTGGATTCTCGGTCCTTTGCAATGTTGGGACTGAGTCGGTCTTCAAAGAAATTTGAAACCATCTATTAAAAACGCTATTATGTCAATGTGTACATATTGAAGATTGTTTTGCATTGATGATGACCATAACATAGGTCGCAAGCTTGGCAATTTGTAGCCATACGAAAACCCGGATTATTCGTGAGTAAAAAAGTGGTCGATACGTCTTACACTTTTTTTCTATAGCTTTAAAAAAATGTATTTGTTTTAATTATGTAGAAAACAATTTTTATACAGATTAATTTATTATTTCAAAAAATTGTTAAAAAATATTATATAAATTTTATTTGGAAATCGTGAGATGCGATCTGGTGTGACGTAGGTTTTAGAAAAACATTTTCTTTAGCGTGACAACGTTTCGATCTTTATTGAAATCATCTTTAGGGCTCAAAGTGATTGTTTTCCGTGTAGATGTGTCTTTCTTGTGGACCCTGATGATGAACTCAATAAAGATCGAAACGTTGGCACGATAAAGAAAATTTTTTCTACTTCCATCACCCAGACCGCATATCACGGTTTCCAAATAATCTTTTTTACTGTTAGTGGTCACTAAACACCAAACATTGTATAAATTTATTTATGTGAAAATCATTCCTTTATTTTATCCGCCACATTCTACCATTCAATCCGAACAGAAAACATTAAATTTTGATTCATAACTTAAAATTAATGTGTTGAAGAACTATTTTTTCTCTCAGCTCTCTCTAATTTCTCTTTGGTGCTTATTTTCCGTAGTGTCTTAGATTTGTAGATCGTTTGTACATTGACTGGCTTTTGTAAAACTATTTTGCAATTTCACTATTTTCGAGGTCAACCATCACCTCCTTTATAATAAAATATTTATAAGATTCTTGACTTGATTGATTCTTAAGTATTACTAATTAAATTCGAAATTAAAACGGGATAATAATGTTCGGTTGTTTTTGAAGAAGAATTAAACCAAAAGTGTGTTCAAACTCATTTTGCATAAACAAACGTCTATTTTATATCGTCAAAAACGTTTTAAATATTCTATCCATTCTCGGCGATAAATGAAATGGCCACGGAGAGCTTTAGTGAAGGTATACTTCATTTTGAATTTAAGATATTAATTGGTCCAGCGGACCACGAAATTAGTAATTATTTATGATAAATATCAATAAAATATGAAGTTCATCTTAGTACTGTAACATTATGAAAAAAAAAAGATTTTTTTTAATACTTGAATAAAAGTAATAGCTACTTTTTCACTCTTCGACTAAGATTCTACTCGTTCTATTCCACCCTGTGAACTTTAACAATTGGCTGTCCCAATTTTTTTCCCGGTAAAGGAATTAAATGTCAGGGATGACGAAATTTAACTGCACTGAACAACAAAAATTGGCCATTCTTAATATTTTAATTATCTTTAGGAAAATCCTCCATTGATTATGTTACAACAATATGTGGACCGTTTTAAAGGATTAGAGATAATTTGTGTTAAAAATAGTATTTTGTAAATAAATCTTTGAAAGTGAATATCTTATTTGTCGGGCTTTCGGTAAAGTTTCATTCTAAAGTTTCGGAGGTGATCTTTTTAAGGTGTACCATTTTTAAATTTCAATTTTGTTTAAATGATGGGTTTAAGTGATATACGTTCAACTAGAACCATAGCATTGTTGGTAGATCGATGAAGTCAAGCGTGTTTGGCCAGGGTGCTTAACATTCCCAGAACAGCTGCGAAATTTCTTCCATCGCTACCGAGACTGGAGGTTACTAAGAAGACATGGATCAGATCACCATCGTGTCACATCTCAGAGAGATGATCGTTTTATTGTTTAGAATGTATTTCTGTACTTCGTAATCTACATTCTAACATAGTTGAGATGATGCAACGACTTGGACAAGTTAGAAATGTTAATGTTTGTTTATGCACTGTAATTCGAAGACTTTCAGAAGCTGAATTACGTTGTAGAAGGTTAAGAACTTCTGACAAGGTACATAACAAGTCGGATAAGTTTCAAGAAATAACATCAATTGGTCTGAGCAAGATTTGAACAAAATCTTGTTTTCGGATGATAGAAGGTTTAGTTTGAAGTCTTCTGTTGGCCGAGAGAGAGAGAGAGAGAGAGAGAGAGAGAAAGAGAGAGAGAGAGAGAGAGAGAGAGCGAGAGAGTGAGAGAGAGAGAGAGAAAGAGAGAGAGAGAGAGTGAGAGGGATATGATATCACAATATTTTCACTCTAGAGAAGCTATGGATGTGATGTATTATGGTTTGCGCAAGCATTACTATAGAAGATTGTACAATCCTTCTTTTCATCGAGGGTTCCCCAACAGCTGCGCGATACATTGAAGATCTGTTATCAGAAAAAGTTTTTCCTTATCGCCACTAATTTGCGACATTTTTATTTTCATACATGACAATGCAAGGTCCCACACAGCAGGATCGTAGGTGACTTTGGAACGGGCTTCAATTCAATGTTTGGAGTGGCCAGAATGCAGTCCTGACTTAAACCCTATCGAACTATTTTAAACCGATTTTATAAAGATGGTAAAAAATCGTCCAATGATGACAGAGGAGTTGCAGTAATTAAAAATAGCAGTTCTGAAGGAGTATTAAAATATTCCTCACCAGCACATTCAAAACCTCATAAAATCGATGTCACGTTGAATGCAAGCGGTGATCAACGTAAGAAGAGGATATGCTCCGCATTGCATTGAATATTTTCTTCTTTGTTTTCATGGCAACATTTTTGTTAA